AAAAGATAACATATTCATTGAAGGATAGTACAATAACAATAGACACACACACACACACACACACACACACACAAACACACACACACACAGAAAGATTTCCTCATAGCTCATCATGAAATGTGTAGGGTGACCCTGTCCAAAAAGAAATATACTCATTACCTGGTTTAAATAACTGCAATCCCTCTATAATAACAATTTAAAATTTAAAAATGTGTGATTATTATGGTGGAAAAAAGTTAGAACCCATCTGAAAAATAAGTAAGGCAAAAGGAATAGGGTATGAATCAAGCAGTAGAACACAAGTATAAGGCCTTGAGTTCAAACCCCATACTAGCCCACATCAAAAAAAAAGAAAAAAGAAAGAAAACATTCAAGGCTAAAGTAAGCTCTTTCCAACCATTGGGTGCCAAAACACCCAAAAGTATAGTTTGCAGTTTGCTTTCCTTTTCTTTTTTTTTCTTTTTCTTTTTTGGGTTATCCAGCTTGAATTCAGGGCCTAGGCACTGTCCCTGGGCTTTTTAGCTCAAGGCTAGCTTGTGCTTTACCACTTGGAGTCATAGCTTTACTTCTAGGTTTTTGGTGATAATTTGGAGATAAGTCTCTCAGATTTGTCTCTCCCAGCTGGCTTTGAACTACAATCCACATATCTCACCCTCCTGAGTAGCTAGGATTACTGGTGTGAGCCACTAGCATCCAGCTTTTTAATTCACTGTTTAAAACTAGGGAGCAAAGCTTTTAACTCTGTACCTGACAGCAATTTATGGAAAGACCTTGTACTCTGAAGGTACATAGTTCTAAGCAGAGAAAAAAAAAACCAACACACTTTCACTATTGTAAAGTCAGAACATCATTGTACAGATCAATTTTTAAAAGTCCTTGCAACTGTCATTTTTTTAAAAAAAACCCACAGCTCTCACCAGAGAACATTTGGAACAGGATACTCTTGCATTTCAGAGAGGTCAGATTTCTTTCCTACAACTCTTAGAGGCGCCTCTTGAAATGTCCCAGTTAAGATTTGCAAAATTGTACCAAATAATAGCCCCAGAGGAAAAGTTAGAATGTGGCTGTCAGTGAACTTGACTTCCATCACATAATGTCTGTCAAGCATTTTCCACATTAGCCAGAAATTCACATGGGGCTTGGGAACAGCTTTTACCTAACTATTGAGAAAAATAAATAAATCAGGTCCCCTTTTAATCTCTGTTACTTTCAAATCAGGTAAAAAGGACAGACCTTTTTAAGCATTTATGAAACTATAGTTAGGATTGCTCAAAAATATACATATATATTGCTAAAATATATATGTGTGTAGCTCATATATTACTCAAATATATCATATTTGAACAATTATAACTGAAAATATATTTATTATATATAACTTATACATTACATAAATAATATATAAATTGCATATAATTCATAATGTGTAAAGAGGGCTTATTGACTTTTGTTAGTGTGATGTGTTACAGATTGGCAAATTTTAAGTTTTTTTCCCTAACGGATAAAAGAAATGAATTAGCACAAACAGTTATTAATTTATTCAACAAGTTTTTATTAATGATCTATGACATGCTATATACACTGTGTTAAAACCTGGAGCAAAAATAAAATAAGCTTTTCTCCCCGTTTATAAATAAGTGGGCAAATGGTTGTCAAAATGAGTGAAGGGCCAGCTAAAATCACTATATAGAGGCAAGCAACCCAAGTTACAAATGAAGCAAAATCCTTAGTTTTGTTTCCCTGGTTTTATTCAAAATGCTAGGGTTGTATTCAATGCTTGCCAAAGAAGACAGAGTAAGGAAGAGCAAGAAACTGTTTCCATTGCTTTTATCTTTCTGCATATGAAAAAATTACAGCATGTTCTGATTTTTTATTCTATTTTTCCTTTATCCACCCAAAAAGGAAAATGAAACATAAAAAATTCATGGGGACTAAATGTTAAATAACTTGTGAAATGTTGTCAGATGCTATTACAAAGAACTCCAATGAATTTCTATAAGTTCTAATAATTACAAAAAACCATTTTATTGGCTAGTTGGCCATGTTACTCTCTGTGAAGGTAATAAGGAATGTATGATGGCTCCTCTAGACTTCATACATTCCTAAAAACCAAGTATTGGTGCCAGCTCATGGAAAACATCTCAGATAAAAATGGAAAGAAGAGCAAGGCACAGGTGGCTTACTCTGTAATCCTAGCTTCTCAAGAGGCTAAGATTTGAGGATCACAGTGTAAAGCCAGCTAGAACAGAAAAGTCCCTATGAGATTCTTATATACAATTAACCAACAGAAAACTAGAAGTCGAGCTGTGGATCAAATTAGTAGAGTGCTAGCCTTAAGCAAAAAAAGCTCAGCACCCAGACCCTGAGTTAAGCCCCACAACCAACAAAGAAAAAAAAGGAAAGAAGTTAGAAATAGAGAAGTCTTGTCTTCAATATGAAAGCTATGTAAAATTTCATACTTACATACAAATGACTGAAAGTTACTTCATACCATCACTATCACCACCTTCTAGAACTTCTAAATGCATTCCATTACATATCCTCCTCCACCTACGGAGGAGGTAATGTCCCAATAAACCCATTGTAAATTGAAAATATGGTGAGTCAAAAAAACATTTTTTAGCTTTTTTATCAACTTTAAGTAGTTGTACTAATGAGTTGACATTTAACAAAATTTCTGAATACAATGGCTCTTGATCAGTATCATCCTCTGAACATTTTCGCCCACCCCTCCCCTACCCACTCCTTTCCACACTCTTCTGAATTTTGTAGGCTATACATTGAATTCTTCCCGTCTTTTCCTCTTCATTCATCTACCCGTCCCCTTAACCTCACCTCGCCTCTTTCAAATACCTGCTTCCTAGTGTATTTTTTATTTATACTTAAAGATGATGTACAGAGGGGTTGTAGTTACATGCAGGTAATGAGTACATTTCTCTTTGCGCAGTATCACCCCTTCTCTCGCTCTCTCCAAATTTTTCCTCCCATCCCCACCCACGTGTTTTGTTTTCAACATAGTGTCTAGTGAGTACTCCTGCTGCATTTGTTCACCCTTTGTCCTGCCATTTCTGTGCATTGAACTTTGACTCCATCTTTCTAAATAATTACACTATTTGAGTTCTCCCTTGCAAGGGACACATATTTTCCTTTATATGTGGAAGCTAGATTTAGCTTATAAACTTATAAGTGAATATGTTGGGTGGTATGCAAGTATATACAAAAATTCACTGAATCTTTCTGACTTACCAAATGTCATAGCTCAGTCTCTCAGTGCAGTGCAGACTCAACCATAGAGTCATCCAATGACTTACTGGGCGCCATGGCTCATACACTGTCCTGAATCTCGAGACAGTACATGCTACTGCATACCACCAGGTCAGGGGAAGATGCGAGTTTAACACTGAGTAGGATGGCTAGAGGGGCTGTGGGCAGGAGAACTTGAGTCCATGCCAGCTTTGGGGCTGCAGGAGAATACCAAAACCTATCCAAACAATAACTAAAATTAAAAGGATGGGATGTGGCTCAAGTGACGGAGCACTTGCCTAGCAAAATGTGTCAGGGTCTCACTGCTGCCAAAGGAAAAAAGAAAGCAAAATTCAAGGAATGATTTCTAGTGAAAGTATATTTTTATCTGTACCATCCTAAAATCAAAAATCGTATTTTAAAACAATTATAAGGCTAAGACTTCAGTTTTTCCAAAGTCTCTGAAGAAGGAATATATATACCTAGATGATTTCTGTCTTAACATTACTTCATACAAAAATACTGGGACTGGGGTATGACTCAAGTGGTAGAGTACCTGCCTAACAAACATAAAACCCTGAGTTCAGACCCTAGTATCCCTTCTCCCCTCCCAAAGCTAGATTCAGGTATATAGACATATAAATAAAAGGACTTTCAATACAGTATTCTTTGATATAGAACTGAAAAACCCTGGAGACCTAAGTACCTATTCATAAAGGTAAAACAAATGACTGATAAAACAAATGATAGTACATTTAAGCAATGGTCTATCATGCAAAATGTCATGGAGCTATCAAATAAAATGTAGTAGACTAGAGCACTAGCACTTGAGCTGAAAAACTGAGGGAGAGCGCCCTGGCCCAGAGTTCAAGCCCCACAACCGACAAAAACAAAAACAAAAACAAGTAGTGGATAGCTCATTGATACATGTACATGTATTGCAAGTCTTAGGCATATGGTTAAAACAAGAGGGTAAAGCATAAACTAGTCATAATTCCTACTGAGTAGAGAAAGGGGGAATATGTATACATGTGTATATAAAGTCTATAAAGACACAGCAGGACTATAGGGAAAACTAGGGACTAAGAGGGACATTTCAAAATATAAATATGTGTTCTCATATGCACAAAACAAAAGCTATCCGGAGGAAGTACAGGCAAAAGAAAAGAGGAAGGGCGATGTCTGGCTCATTCTACTGGACCAACGGCCAGCTTCCTGTGCCATAACCCAGCAGTCTCTGGTTTCTGTGATTTCCCAACCTCAGTACCAGTGTTCTCTTTGTAAACAAGGAACTACAGACTGAAGATCATGCAGTAGAACTCCTATAGCAAAAAGGTAGAAACTGTCCAAATGCTCCTTAGAGCTAAACTTCATGAAGCGTATTTTTAATTAGGAGTTTACCTGACAGCTTCTGTTTTGGTGTCCTTCAACACTTTATGAGGTCACTTTTAGTTATATTCCCAGTGTGCCTATATTCACCCATATTCTTGATAATGGCTGCAAAGCCTGAGGTCAAAGGAAAGATTTGTGCAGGATGTTTCTTCCACAATGACTGTAAATTGCTTTATGTGTTCTTGATAATAAACTCTTGGGAAAGGACCTATTCATGCCTAGTCCAGCTGGCCAATTATTTGGTCAAGAGATAATGTTCATCATTAGTCCCACAACAATTTGGAAAGCATTCCCAGTATTTAGATAACTCTTTTAATTGAAATTAGACCAGCATTTCCACCAAACCATAGCAAGGAGACCAGAGGAATTATTAAAGGAGTGATGTTTTATTTTTTTAGTGTTTAATAGAATACATAATGAGTCACATAATCAATGATTCATTACTTCACACACAGGGAGGGAAACAGTATTGAATATTTCTCTTGTACAACCAGTTGTGAACAGGGAGAGCAAAACTAGAGCATTTATATGGCTAAAGGAATTCTCACTGTTTAGGCACCTATGAAAAGACTTCATCACCATGTTTTTTGTTTATAATAGGGAGTATCTTCTTGCCTTTGTGTTTCACTAGAAATGTCTGATATCTTTCCTCTATCTTTGTGTTTTGAGAAAATGGCTCAGTGATATCTATCACTTAGCAAATAACATTTGCAAGTTTCAGAATCCCAGATAGTGCTGTGGGAATCTTACATTATTTAACAAATAAAAATTTTTCAGATGCCCAGAAAAATTTAAACAACATATAATTTACACGTTAAAAATTCACATCCATTATAAATGCCTTAACCCTTTGTCATTCGATGGTTAGTAATGGTGGTAATTAGTTACTTTGCATTATTCATATTCAATATTTGTAGCAAAATGTACCTGACTATAAATTCACAAAGACAGTTGTACAATTATTTATATTACAATTAATGTCTACATATTTCAAAACACATTTAGGATTTTTAAAATAAAAATTTGGCTTGGAAAAAAAAAAATCACAGAGTATTTAAGTGGCAAGGAATCTTGGTCAACTAGTCCTTCTTCTTACCATGAAAGGTTATAATCTAATGTAGATATGTGCTTGAATTTCTTCAGTCTAAGTTTTAGAGACTCCAGTAAAGAATCTAAATCCTCAAGTTTTAATATATTTATTTTCCTTTAATACTTCAACATATTTACTGTCCCAAAATTTAAAAAGAAAAGTTGGCTACAACATAACTTGTTTCTGGCTATAAGAAAAACCTGTTTCAGGTATAAGGGTCTTGGGAAAGTCATTTCTCAAGAGACAGCATTGGATAATCTTTTTAAACTTCAGGTTTGAAATGATTCTTAATAAGGAAAAACAAGAGAAGAAAAACCCAAACAGAATAGTCACTCCAATAGGTTTACAATAAAAATACTCAGTTTAAGGTTTTAAAAACTTAAGTCAATTGTGTAAAGTACTTGCTATTTATATTACAGAAGAAATTCCTAAGGAGTTCAACAACCCCAGTCAAAGCTTTGCTAAATGTCTGCATTACAATTTACCACTTTTTGTAAGAATACAAAATGATTTTAATATTAGGCTGGAATTTACCATAATTTGAAGAGTAGAAAAATTTTCAAAGCTTCATCTTAGATGGCTTTAATTTAGTAACATTCCATGGAAAATTCCAATAAAAACTGTAATATGCAACAAGCACTGCCCATTTGATATTTGCACATTATGAATTTCCTAAGACAATTTTATCTAGTATTATAAGTATTCACTGCTGTTTTTTTAAAATCCAAATAAGAAACACAAAAATAAAAATAGTATTGTTAGGGAAAATTCTTTAGTCTTATACTTCAAGGAATACTTTCAACATTATTTAAAAAATTAGAATGTGATTCATAGTCATGTACCAAACATAGGTTAAATACTTGATGCAAAAACATGGAACATGATAGCTCTTTTTTTATCACCACAGTCAATGATTCTGTCTACAAAACTAACTGTCTAACATCACTCAGTTATATTTATGAACATCAAATTGGTAATTGGCGCAACGTATGCAAATGCTTGCTTCTCTGAGTCAGATTAAAGCAGTCATACTCATCTGCATAGTTTCCACATTCTGCCATGATATTTGAATGGTGCTTTAGGGGGAGCTCATTCAATGGGACCCTATTAAGCATCCTATCCAAGCTCCCAGATGATCACCAACACTCCAGTTCATTCTGTAGACCTTAAATGCACATGGAAAGGAAGGGATCCAAAAGGCCCAGGCCAAGGGAACTTAATTCAGTTATACTCTGTTCTCCATGGAAAAGGAGTTGCCTTGTCATTATGTGGGGTTTAAAGTAGGAAGTTCTGATGTGTTCACTTCAAGAGCAGAAAGAACAATCATTTGTAAAAAGAAGTCAGTTTATGCTGCCCCAAACATTAGATTCTTTAAAGGAATCTATGGGATGCAGGAAGGAAAGGGCAGAGGTTGGAGGAGTAGAAAGATGACTATTACAGGATAGAATAGTTAGGCTCAAAGTTACACAAAATACAATTCATAACACGAGTAGCAGAGACAAAATTTTAGCCTCCTAACTCTTGGACATGTGCAGATTTGAGGAGGGAAGTCTTGCCATTTGTCAATGTTTCTGATCTGTCCTAAAGACAATCATTTGCTTTTTCATTGAGCAATCTAACAAAATGCCATAGGAGAGACACCCTATGTGACACTCACTCTAGGCCGGTGAACAAGAATACTAAATCATTTCAGGCTTGACTTGTAAGTTAAAGGAACACAACCCTCCTGGAATTCTGCATTTATTTCCCTTAAAATTACAGTGTTTGTACATAAAGCTAACTTTTCTAAAAAAATAACTGAAATAAAGAGCTTAAACTTTTCTTCCCAACTAAAATGAAAAAATACTAGCGGAATAAAAATGCAGGTGCCTTGATTTTAGATAAGACAGTTAATGGCCCTATTATTAGTATACAATACTCCAGGGGGAAAAAAGTATAAAGCAAACTCAGGATTACAATTATGTATTTTTCCTGGCCCAAATTCACCATAGACAAGGATATATGAAACTCACCAAAAGCTTAATATACACACCAGCCAATGCAAGTTTTCAGAGGGAGGTTATATAGGAAATGTTATAGTATTAGTGAGTGACTTAAAAAACTAAATGATTCATGTAAAATGTTTATATATGGTATATACAGCTTAGATCACATGAGTCTATGAATGAAACTGTCCCACTTCCTAAAATCTGTCATGGACATAGCAAGATACAGTACAAGATTTGTTTTAAAAACGAACGAGAAAATAGCACTAATTTAAACACTGAAGACGACTCTTACAAATTCTTTAAAAACATATTTCAGAGAAAGATGCAAAAACAAACGAAGAGATAGAAAGGCTTCTCCGTCATCGCAGAATTCCCAAGGATGCCTCACAGAAAGAAGCATGAGGAATCGGCCATTCCTCATCACTTATGGTGAACATAGGGTACACACTGGGAGTTCATTCCACACGAGAGTAAAGGCATAAGGCAACCAGGTCTCCTATTTCTGTTGCTTTTCCCTAAAACACCATTTTATTGCTCTGCTCACATTTAAGTACTTATTTTGCCTTCATTTAAAAAATGTTCCATTTTACATATAGATAGATAGACGGGCAGCCCTCCGTGGTTAAATTTCTATGTAGCTCTATCCATTTTAACGTCAAACTGCATGAAGGAAATGACATTGTTAGCTTTTATGGGCGGCGGGGGTGTGGGAGGAGTTGTTTGTTTTAGGTCGGCTCAGCAGTAAGGATTTGCTGGGCTTGAAGACAATAAGGATTTTTCAGTAAGATTTTCCTTCTAAAGAACCAAAATTGAACTAACTCTGCTTACCTAACAGATTCTAAAATCAGGATTTATAGCCAATAAAGTAAAAGTTGAAAAACTAAAATCTGACTGAGTAATGCTTTGGTTGGGTTATATAAGTAGTCACAAGAAAAGTTTAGGGACTCAAAACTGTTTTTTAACTGGGATCTGTCACTAATATTGATTAAAATGCAAATTTGCAGTAACTTTGCTATTTAAATGCTCATGTACTCAAATGGATGGTACACACTTTCAACTTCCAAATAATACATGGGTTATGTCTACTGTTCCCTCCCCATCTTTCCTCCCTCCTCTTCTCCCTCCCGCCCCGCCCCAACCAAGTCCTAGATCTAATTGGCTGTACCATCCTACTGCCCACCAAACGACGTGCACTACTACCCAGCTCCATTGAAATCACTGCCAGGTGACTTCTGGCGGCCCCTGGCGATCTGGGCCGCCTCGCTCCTTGGGAGACAGCAGCATCCTTTCTCTCTCTGGACCTCCAAGGCTGCCGTATTAATCAATGCAACCCAGACCTCCCTGGACAGGAGGGAGTAGCAAGTTTAAGCTACAGACAAAGCTTTATTCCAGGCTGGAAAAAAAGGATAAGATCGTTCACAGTGCTGGCTCTAGTCCAATACTGTAACTTTTCGAAACTTTACAGTCACTGACTGCACTGCCCTCCACGGGGGTCTTAATTCAAGCATCAGTCTTCCAATCAGTCTGCGAAAACTCTCCTTGAATGAAGATCAGAAAGGTTAACCACCTCCTAAGCCCCTCACCACCCCCTCCCCGCCTCAGTGTTATCAGTTCTGATCTCTTAAACCTGAAAGGAGTCCAAAGGACTTCAGAAGAGAATCTTCTGTACACTAATCAGGCTCTGAACAATTCAGTCCTTGCCAGGTGCTTGGTGCTTTTGCGCCCACGCTGCCCGCTTGGATCCACGCGGAAGTACCCCGGCCCCGCGGGGTGGAGGGCGCGTGGGTGGAGGGCCACGTTCCAATACTCTTGGTTAGTTAGCCGGGTCCACGGACGAAGAAGCCCAGAGGATGTGTGGCTGCAGTCTGAAGAAGGGGAGCTGACGGTTCTGGAGGAACTAGTGAGGGGATGGGGGGGGGGGGGCGGGGAACGGGGGAAACCGGGGAGAGGGGGCAGGGGCTGGGGATCGATCATCCTCTCCCCCGCGTGGAGCCGGGGCAGTGGGCGCGGGAGCGGCGTGGGGACCCGGGGCGCTCACTACTCCCTGCAGAAGACGTACTCGGTGTAGCTGGTCCAGATCTTGTCCTCGCTCTGGTCGGTGCTGCCTGCGAAGGCGCAGGTGCCCGTGGAGCTGCACGCCACCATGTGGAAGCCCGATTCGGACAGCTTGTCGAAGGCCTGCTCCAGGAAGTTGAACTTGAGGTAATAGCGCGAGGTGTAGCGCTCGGGGGGCCGATCGGGGTCCCGGCTCTCGTTCAGGGTGTCCCCGAACACCTCCTTGGCCAGCGAGGTCTTGCCGCACACGGTGATGCGCGCCACCCGCCGGAACTTGGCGTCCGCCTGCGCGTCCCGCCCGATGGTGTAGGAGCCGCGGTAGCCGATGGTGATGTAGCCCGATCGCCGGCTGCCGTCCAAGGACTGGGACGGCGTGAGCAGCGGGCCCGCCGCGCCCCCGGACGGGCTGCGGCTGGCCAGCTCCAGCGTGGGGGACGGCGCTCCGGCCGAGGCGCCCTCCTGCGGCTCCGGCTCCCCGTAGCCCAGCGGCAGCAGCTCGTCGCCCAGGGAGCCCTCCTTGTGCACCCCGCGCCGGGAGTGCGGCGGCGGCGGCCCGGGGCCGGGTTGCTGGGGCGCCCCGAGGCGGCGCACCAGCTCGGGCAGCTCGAAGTACTCGGCCTCGCGCTGCAGCCGGCTGCGCTCCGGGAAGTAATCGGGCAGCACGAGCTGCAAGTCCCGCAGGTAATCCAGGATGTAGCGGAAGAGGAAGCCGTCCCGGTCCAGAAAGAAGCGGCCTTTGCTGTCCCGGGCCAGCTCCTGCGGCTGCTGCTGCGTGAACATCCGCCAGAGCAGGGACTCGGGCACCGACACCACGGTGCAGCGCCGGGTCACATACACCTGGCCCCCCACGTTCAGCTCCACGATGTCGGGGAAGAGCGGCGGCTCCGCGGAGGACGACGAGGAGCCGCTGCCGCCCCCGCCGCCGCCCCCGTTGGGTAATCCTCGAGTGCTGTCCGCCAGAGCCATGGCCAAGAAGTGCTCGGGTTGAGCCGGCGGCGGGGACGCACGGCGCTGGCCGCGCTCAGGAGCCGCGGCGCCGGGACGCTCGCTCAGCCCTGCACCCCGGCCGCGGCAGCCAGCCGAGAGCTACGCGGTGTGAGCGCGCCGCTGCCGCCGCCGCCGCCGCTGCTGCCTCCACCGCCACCGCCGGGCGCCCCCCGCGAGCCCCGTGCCACGCACCCGCCTCGCCCGCGTGCTCCAGGCGAGTGCCGGGTCGCGGCCCGCACCGCGCTTAAGTAGAGCCGCCCCGCTCGGGCGCCCGCCGCGGCGCGCAGGAGGCGTGGGCGGCCCGGAGCTGCGGAGCGGAGCCCGGCTCCCCCCGGGCGGGGGCGAGGAGGGAGGAGGAGGAGGGGGAGGGGGAGGAGAGGGGGAGGGAACCCAGACTCGATTTGCATCTTAAACGCTGACGCGGCTCGGGGCTGCTGGCTCCACCCCGGCTGGCGCTCTGGGGCGGGGGGATGGGGGGAGTGAGCGACCTGGGTCCCCCCCCCCCACTCGCTGCTGGTCCCCTCCCCGCGCTCCCGCCCAACTTTCTCTCTCTTCTGCCACAGGCTGTCTCTCAAGATCGTGGAGTTACGGAGGGGCGGCCTGGGCTCCCCAGCCCCGCTCAGCGCCGGCACTCTAGGAAGGGGGACGTAAACTTTCTGTACACCCCCTCCCCGCCACCGGCGGAGCGGAAATGCGGGGCCGGCCGCCGCGCCCGGGACCTGGCTTTGGCGCTGCGGTGAGTGGACCGGGTCCCTCCGTACTGGAAAGTTTTCTAAACCAATCAAGAAACCCTAGAGGGGCCGAGAGGCTCTGGAGTCCCGAGGCTGCCAAATGTTCTTGTTGCTGCCGCGATCGTCTAGGGAAAAAACGAAGTCCCTAGAATCAAAACGCTATCCTCCGTGTCGGGCCTAGGGCGCTCTCCGCTAGCTCATTCTCTGGGTGTGGATTCTGGTCCCGAGACCTCACAATAGGAAGCAGTGGGCAAAAGGTGTGGTTTGAGGCGGCGAGTCTCCGCGAGGGCAGCCCGGGCAGCCCCTCCCTGCGGGGGCAGGCGGAAGGTAAAGGATTCGGGAAGACCACAGGCTCCCTTCAGACGTCCGTGAACCACGCACCAGCTCCCAGCCCCGGCGTTATTTATCCTTCCTAAGGTTCAAGCGCCCTGGCTGGACTTTCCATTCCGTTCTTCCCAGCTCCCCTCGATTATAGGCAGTCCTTTCCAGTCTCAGAGAGGGATATTTGTATATTCGGATGCCTTCTTCAAGATCCCATCCGGTCCTCTATTTCCTGCTGCACCCTGCACATTCCCGTTTACCTGTCAGATTGAGGCCCACGGAGGACTCCTCTGCCAGAAAGCCTTTCCTGGTCTCCCACGTGGATTTGGGGATCTGGATGGCTCCCTAACATATGCTCAGCACACATTGTGAAATTTTATATTACGAATGATTATCTGATCGCTAACTTCGGTAATATTCATTTACTTATTCATAGTGTATCCTCAATTCAAGCTGACAGCATAAAACCACCCCCAGTGGCTGGAAGTGGATCTGCTATCCACGGCTCAAGTGGTAGAGCACCACCTTGAGCGAAGAAGCTAACGGACATTACCAGGTCCTGAGTTCAAGCCCTAGCACCAGCACCAAAAGAAAAAGAAAAGAAAAGACAAGATAGAGAAGAGTGTTGAAAAATCGTTGGGCCAATTAATGCGGCACACTAGTGCCACCAGTGCCTGCTAGCAAGGAAGGAAAGACAACAATTTCCAAGGCAGAGGCAGATTGCTGAACAGTTATAAGATCCACTTGAAATTCAGGCTGTCAATCAGGATAAATCAGGAAAGATCTTTGTTCTTGATAACTATGTTTACCCTTTTGTGTAACTTCCCAGTGAGCTTTTATAGTCTCCTCACGGATAAGTGTCATTTTCATTTTGAAATGTTTATGTCTGCTGAACAATTATTGCACTCATGTCAGTGAGCTGAAATAAGATCAAGCCCCAAACTAGTTTGTTTAATTGCAAGTGCAGATTTTGATACTGAATATATTTCCTCACTCTCTTTTTGTATTGTTTTTGGGGGATAAATAATAGCTGACACACAAGTCCCAAGTTCAAATGCTGAGTTTCTAGGAGTATGTGCTATTTATTGGCTCATGGGCCTGACAAAGAAATACTTCTAATTGTGTCAATTCTGCACTTATTTTTTAGAAGGCCTGGAGCTTAAACTCAGGTCCTGAGAAGCTGGGATTACAAGCATGAGCCACCAGTGCCCATCTTTTGCACATATTTTTATTTTTTTAATTTATTTATTTTTAGAATTTTACTGTAAATGTGACATACAGAGTACATTTCCTTTTGAATGGTGTCACCCTCTCCCTCTTTCTCTCCCATTTTTTAACCCTCCCAAATTCCCTTCTCCCCAAGTGGTATAGTTCATTTCCAGCATGGTGTCCAGTGGGTTTCACTGCTGAATTAGTCCACCCTTGGTCCCACCATTTCTGCTGCACATACTTTTAAATAATTATATTTTTTGTATCAGCACTGTCTACAAGACCTTTCCAGATTACTTACAGTTCTCATCATCCTGGACCAAGCCATCATTACCTCTTTCTTGGATTATTGCATTGGTTGCCTAACTGCTCCCACCTTCGTCTTTTTGCAGGAATCCTATTACAACTTAAGTGGATACAGCACTCTACTCAGGACTATGCAATAGCTTCTTAGCTCACCACAGCCCCTTGTAACCTATAAGACTCATGATGATTGAAGCTGCCCCGGACTAGTCTCTGGCACACCTCACCATTTTGTTAAGCCTGGGAAAGTGTCTTCAACCAGCCACAGACCTTTTCCCCTCCTTCACGCTTTGCTCAAAAGACTCATTCCTTCCCCCAGCCTCCATCCCATACCTTCTCTACGTGTTAGCATGTTTCCCTTCTGGTTTCTTCAAGTCCCCTTTCTGTTTCTTTTCTTTTCTTGTTTTTGTGCCAGTCCTGAGGCTGGGTGGTGTCCTTGAACTTATTTTTCTCAAGGCCAACAGTCTACCACTTGAACCACAGCTCCACTTCTGGCTTTGTTTTGATAGTTAATCGGAGTCTCAGTCTTTCCTGCCCAGGCTGGATCTCAGCCTCCTGAGAGGACAGCATGAGCCACCGGCCTGTTAAGTCCCTTTCTTTATCTCTCCATTAGTGAGGTGTAGTGCAGCCCTACTCCAGAGCTTCTCTTTCTCTTCCATATTTGTTGATGTCTTTTTCCCTGAATTAGACTATAAAACCCCAAAAGGTCGAAGATCACTGTCTGTTTGATGCATCGCTATATCTCCAGTGCCTAGGACTGAGCTGGTGTACTATAGGCACAAGTCTCTGTTGGTCATTCCACTAATATTTATTTAGGGCTCCTGGTAGGGTCCAGGCAATGTGTTAAAAACATAATCACTGCCCTCTTAGAGCTCAGGTCTTTTAAGGGAGACAGTAAATACATATGTGTATTAAGTGCCTTTCAAATGGTGGTAAATGCCACATTAAAAATAAAGAGATGCACATGGCGATATGACTTTAAATCCAGAGCCTGGGGAAGAACTCGTTGGGGAAAGAGACATTTGAGCTGGACCATAGGGCACATTGTGAGGAAGAGTGTTCTAGGCAAAAAGTAAGCAAGGCAAAGGGGCCTGGTCTGGAATGAAGTTAGTGTGTGTCACAGCTGAAGTTCATGTATGGGGTCATCTGCATCCTGAAACCTCCACAGAACCCTTCAGATTAAGTACAAACGCAACTGTGAAAGGTACTGCATGCTTGCACACCACCATCAGTTTCTAACTCTTTGTCCACCACAAGCTAATCTACTCCAGGAAAAGCTCCTGTTCTTTCCTTGTAAAAGCTAGGGTGTGCCATGAAAGATAATTGTGAAACTGATTTGATACTAAAGCAGTAACTTTCTGGTTGTTTTGGAGTGTTCTGTGTCTTGCACATATCTTAGTTTTACAAAATATAAGAAGAAATACAACTGAGGGATTTTGATGCTGGGACCAGAGGACCTAGCTGTGTTTGCTGGGAGCAAGTGATCCACACTGGGCGTGTTCATTGTGTTAACTACACTAACTGGAATCCAGGAAGATCTGGAAAACCACTGAGCCTAGTTTCTAGTGATGGATATATAGATGTGCCTTGTTCCTTTTCAGGTGACTCTTCATACTCTCCTAAATAAGAGACAATATACATTAAAAGAACTTGATCTTTTGATCCTAAAGTGTAGGACACTGCAAATGTGTCTGGACTCAACTTCTAATTTAATTCCTACATACTACCTGGGTTTGTCAGCTTTCTCCACCCCCACCCTCACCCCAGCACTTAGAAACTATTGTAAGTACACACCCAAGATTTAAGGGAAGGAGAATGGAACATTAAAAGAAATATAAAACTAAACGGGGAATAACAGGGGAGAAATGAAATGAATGCCTCTGAGTAGTGAATGAATTTCATATATGTGAGAATAATCTGCAAGCTGTAAAACACCATTCAAGTGTCAGAATCAGTATTTTCCACCACTTATCACGGTTCCTGACAAGTCTGCTCAATAAATAATGAATAAATCAATGACAGAAGCATTAACATGTGCGCTGTCAGGGCAGGGGACCAAAGGCAGAACAGAAATTGTCCTGAATAAACGTCTGGTACATTTATCATCTTCCCAATATGGGTAAATATTGTTGTGTATGGGAGTTTTAAAATAATTTTTGCTCAAGGCTGGTGCTCTACCACTTGGGCTGTATCTCTACTTCCTGCTTTTTGCTGATTGATCTTGGAGGTAAGAGTCACAACAGATTTTTCTGTCCAGACTGGCTTTGAACTGACATCCTCAGATCTTGGCCTTCTGAGTAGCTAGGCTCGTAGAGGTTAGCCACTGGTGCCTGGCTGTAATCTGTGCTTTAAAAATACTGCATTTGGGGGCTGGGAAGGTGGCTCAGTAGTAGAGCACTTGCCTTGCATGCCTGAGGTCCTGGGTTCGATTCCTTGTTACAACATAAGCAAAAACAAAAAAGCCGGAAGTGGCTCTCTGGCTCAAGTAGTAGAGCGTTAGCCTTGAGCTGAAGAGCTGAGGGACAGCGCCCAGGCCCAGAGTTCAGGCCCCATGACCGGACCCAAAAAAAAAATGCATTTTATAGC